TGTTGACTCTATTGACTAAAGGCCTCACACAGATCTCATCGCATCTGGAGTGGATGCTGCTTTCCAGACTGAACCCAAACTTATCCTCTTCCACGGATGAAGCACAGAGAGGTCAGGGCTTGCCCAAGGTCACACAGCCCCAGAGCTGCCTTCCAGCCTAAGCAGTGGCCACACAGCTCTTCCGAGTGGCTCAAGAGGTCCCTTCCCTCCTCAGCAACCCACGAGGGGCTGACAGGAGTGGATGCTGCGTTTTAGTTGACACTAACACTACACCCACTCTTCCTTCCCCTGAATTCCCGTCTTGCTGAGAGAATGGGTGAATGCAAAGAACAACCTGAACTGGCATCTACTCCTCGTTTCTATTGACAGTTTGCAAAGTCATCAGTGAGCCTCCTTTAATGTTGATTCTTTAGAAGTGAAAAACAAAGCACATTAAACAGCTTGTTTGGCCCAGGCCTGGCCAGCTCCCAAGCAGGGGAGGCCTGTGTCCAGACGGGGTGATGCGCATCTCCACCGTTTGTCCCCTTCCAGCGACAGGGGACAGGGCCTGTTATTCATGCTCCAATCGCCACCTGGCCCAAGCCAGCCGTGCGCTGGGCACCGGGTGCGCTGTGCCTGGACGGACAGGGCTCTGGCCTCCCTCACAATCCCGGGAGCTGATGAGGGCACCAGTGACCACAGGGTCCTGCTGGGGAGAGGGTGGGGCAGCAGAAGGTCAGGGACCCCTGTGCTGAGACCTGAAATACTGACAGGAGTTAAATAAGGAGAAAGGTTAAATAATGTTGGAGACACAATAAATGCCTTGTGGGAAGATCCCACAGAGGAGAGAACACTGAATGTTTGATCAATGGAAAGGAGACCGGTTTGGGGGTCAGGCAGAGAGTGCCTTCCCATTCTTACCAGCTGACTTAGACTGTGGCCACCGTGGGTGGTCAAGGAGCTTGAATTTTTGGGAGCAGCGCACGAAGGAAGCTCATTATAGAATAAGGAAACTCCCAAGTCTTGTCACTTTGTTTACTTTTCAAGTTGCCACACCTCCTATACGAGTCAGAGCTATTAATAACATGTTCTAAGTTCACAGGACATTTTTTTTTTTTTTCCCACAAAGACCACAAATTGTCCTACAGTCTCGGTCATTTGCATTTAGAACATTCCTCTGAAAAAAATCCTGGGGCAAAAGACTAAAGAGACAAACAGCTCTGTTAACCCTCCCCACCCGGGGCCTGGGCCTGCTGGACAAGTCCAGAACGTGGCCCTCACTCTCAGAATGCTGTTCCCCGCACGTGGTCCCAACAGCCGCAGCCTTGGGAGGAAGGCGCTGTCCAGCCCACCCGGAGGGGGCAGGGGACCATGGGCACGCTGGCTTCCATAGCTGGTGACCTGCTGTGGAAATGGCAACACTGGAGCCACCAGGTGTGGACCACTGCTGGGGTGACTGTCGCCCCAAACCACTTTGTAAATGTTCATGTAAATAAATGCAGGGGAACCAAAGGGAAAACCTCAGCTGTTGCCTTTAAATAATACAGCATTAGTTCCCAGTCTGGTGACTGAGCCAGTTCCGGGAACTTTCTGTTCTCTTGAGACCGAACCACCATCAGATCAGCTGGAATTAGGTGTTTGCGATGGCAGAGTGGAGAGACGTGGGGTGAGGGGGACCTGACTGACTGGTGGCTGGCTTACGGACACTGTGTGTACCCAGCAGCTTCTCACTAGTGAGGGGCTGGCTCGGGGAACTTGTGAAAAATATAGGAAGCTCCCTGCGCCCCCAACAACTTCCTGAGTCTGAAGCGGGGGAGGGAGCAGGCATGTGTATTTTTTCAAAGCTCTCTAGGCAATTCGCCAGTGTTCCCCAAACACCTGGCATCAGCCCGACCAGCTGGCAGAGCAGCCGCGGTCTCCTCACCTGTCTCTCCAATTCACCATTCTAATTACTCAGAGTGAGGGTTACAATCCCAGGGGCCCTCTGACACAGGGAACCTGCAGTGCCACAGTCCCTGGTCATCCGGGGCCAAAGGAGACTCCACAAGCTACTGACCCACCCTCAGCTCCTAGGAGATAGGAGCCCCTTTGTTAGGGATGATGCATTAAACAATCGCACCCTTTTATCCTTTCTTGCTGGACCGCAACTAAAGGAAACATTTGGGTCTCAAAGTCAAGTCTGCTGCCCACAGGGGACCATGACTGCAGATGTGGATGGACCAGGAAAACCCCCCAGCCCAGGGTCTAGGTCAACCCTGGCAAGTCTCTCTAGCCCATGGGCCTCAGTCTCGCCTTTCGGAGAAGCAAGAGGTGCTGTGAGAAGGGTTTAGGGTTCCTTGCAGTCCTAAAACACAAGCTGGAGTAAAACAGAATGGGAGGAGTCGCTCCATTCAGGAGAGAATCCCACCTCGCACGGAAGACGCTGGAGATGCCTGAGTTACCGCCAATCCCCCAGCGCGATAGGCAGAGAAGTGGTCTCCTCCCGGGCCAGGGCAGACAGATAACAGGACAGGGTCGGGGCAGAAGGGGGACGCTAAGCTGTGGCTCGCCGGGCTGAGTGCGGGCTTGGAGGGTCAACCCTAATCGGGGATTAGTGGAAATCGTGTTGGAGGCAGGGCAGAGGGAGACTCCGCAGGGCTGGCTGCCAGGTCAGGACAGCCGCTAACGGAACACCAGGGACTGCTCACCCACGCTGTCATGAGTGTCGCGGTCGGGATGGCCCAGGACAGGGGAGAGGTATGCCAAGGCCAGGGCAGGAGTTACCCAGATCCTATCAGCCTGCAGAACGTTCCATCTGAATTCAAATCGAGCAACATTTCCAGGCACCAGGGAGAGCAAAGTGACGCCAGCAATTCCCTCCCCCCATCACACACACGCACACACACGTACACACGCACGCACACACACGCACACACATGCACACACACGCGCGTGCGCATACACACACACACACACACACACGCACCTGACACCACAGTCAGACCCAGTCTACTGTCAGAGGAGACTCAGGGCTGCCTTGAGCTTAAACCCAGTACATTATTGCCCCTTCCGGGCAGGAGCTCTGGAAAAACTGGTGTCTAAGACTCTGCAGTGCATGGCGAATAGCAGAGAACGGAGAAGGTGCAAAGGAGCCAGATCTCTCCCCGCCCCCTGAGCCAAGGGCCCCCTCTCCTCCCACACGGATTCAAGTGAGTAGGGAGAAAGGTTTGCCTCCGAAACCTTCAGGTATTTGCTTCAGTTCTCAGCCTTACCCGACCGGCTGCAGAAAAATTCCAGAGCAGGGATATCCTCCTTTCTCTCTGAGGGCTCCAGGCAAGAGGGTAATCTGGAAGCATTATATCGAAGGCAATCATAGTTTCTAAGCCAATCAGGAAATGTCAGGGAACACGGCAGAATGGTTTAAGCAGGACTGTCCCAGACTTACAGGAGGGAGGCTCGTGCCTCTGCCTGACCCTCTCAGGAGTCCCAGGGGGACGACCAGGACCCTACAGGTCACTCACCCAACACCAACACGCATGTTACAGCTCACGAAAGGCTGAGAAGCAGAATCCGTGGCCCACGTCACGCGCCCTGTCTCATCCAGCTGGGACAAGACTTTCACCCGCTCACAACTCCAGCCTGCAGTGCACTCAGCCCCGGAACGCAGGCCCTGGACACCAGGTCAACCAGGGATCAATGACAGCAGCTTCGTGGGGAAACAAAGCTGTGTTTGCTCACATAGGTGAGGTCACGTGGCTTTAGGGGCTCCCACGAGAGGTGGGGTGGCCCCCCCGAAGAGCTGTCCGGTTCTGGCGGCCGCGGCACGGACTCCAGGCACCGAGGCAGACGGCAGTCAAATGACCTTGAAGGCTTTTTTCATCCAAAGGTTACGGTTATTTTTTTTTCTCCCGAGGGTTCAGAACACGGTCTTTTGTTGGATTTATGCTCATTCACACTCAAAGCTATTTTGTTTTTTAAACCCGTGGCTATGTGAGTCAGTCAAGGTCATGCGCAAAGACCACACAGAGGGCCCACCGTGGAATATTTTGAAGGTTGATGGTCCAGACACACAGCATTCACTATTTCCAAAGCGAAGCGCCACAGGCTTCTCCACTGAGTTCCCAAGCAGGTGGCGGAATGCGGTACACCTGGGAGCCATCAGGACAGGCGAAGACTGGGAGGTACCCCAAACCCCCCAGGCCCCCATTCCTCCTATGGAACACCAAGAAATAGCAGACGCCAGGAGCTTGTCATTAAACCAAGATGTCTTAGAAGCAAAAATAAGTCACCCAGTCATTAACCAGACAAGAAACATAACCACAGGAGCATGAGGTAGCAGAGCTCCGTCATAAGCCCCTGAGCTTTGAGGTAGGAGATAGGTGGGTTCAAATCCCAGCTCTGCCACCCACAGGCTGTGTGACCTTGGGCGGATTACTTAACCTTTCCAGGCCTCAGTTTCCCCACCTGTGAAATGTTGACAACGCCTCTGTCGCAGGAGTTGTGAGGATTCAGAGATGACAGACGTACCTGAAGCCCCCAGTACATGTCTGGCGAGCGGCTAGCCCTCAACGGTCACTAATTTTAAATGCCAAGGAATGCAAACCTTCTGGAAATAACACGCTGGGCGAAATTCAGCTCTGTACGTGGAAGCATATTTGGTTCACAGTTATTCAGGTGCAAACGCAGTTCGGGGTCCACCTGAATACGGGAATCCACCTGGGACGCCAGGAAGGGCAAGTATGAGCCTGAAGGGGAAGGGGCACCCCGAAAAGTCTCTCCAACAACCAGTCTGTCCCTCCAGTGGAGCCTAGGGCCTGGCACACCTCATGTCTGGTTAATAAAATCGAATCATTTTGTCTTGATTCCCCATCAAGGGTCCTCCAGTCTTCAGGGTCTTTCTCCTAACTTTCAAGGATGCTCTGCCCCTCGAATCAGTCAAGGGCTGTGGCGAGCCTCCAGGGAAGAAGAGCTCTGCTCTGAACCCGCGCCCCGAGATCACCGCGCCCGACCCCGCAGCACGACCGGCCCTCACGGAAACTCACCGCTCTCCGTTTGGCCTCATCGTTCAGGGCGGCCACCCAGGCGGCCTGCCACTGCTTCCTCCAGATGCTCAGCGTCACGATCCAGGCGAGCAGCGCATCCGGCTCGGGGCGCTGGCCCTCGCCGGGCTCCGCCGCCCGCCTCGGGGAGCGGGGTCGCGCCCTGGCCAGCGCCCACTGCGCCAGGTACAGGCCCACAGTGCCCAAGGCCACGACGAAGAGCGCCACCAAGCCCAGCCACTGGACCTCACCGAGCCACGAGTCCAGGCGGGACATGGTGATGGCGCATACCCGGCGCGCCTCGCCCCAACTTCCCAGGCAGCCCCTGGCCGGGCGCACAGCCCGCGGGCGGCGAGCTCAGGACATCAGCTCGCGGCCGGCCGGGGCTCGCGGGGGGCGGGGAGGGGGCGCGGCGGGCGGATCCAGGCGGCTGGCGACGCGGGCCCCGGGCGCCGAGAGGCCGGCGGGCAGGGTGAGCGGGAGGAAAAGCCCAGCCGCCTCACGACGGCCACGGCCCGGGACTGCGCCTCCCCTAACAAATGGGGACGCGGCGTCCCGCGTTCCCGACTCGGGCGTCTGGTAGTTCCCGGGGCCGTGGCCGGGCGCCTCTCCTCCAGCGCGCCGCCCCAGGCGTCCCGCCCGCGGCCCAGCGGCGGCCGGAGGAGGGGCGGGGCCGCGGGGCGGGGGAAGGGGCGCGGCCTGCGGGGCGGGGCGGGGGCGGGGCGGGGCCTGGGCCTTCCCTGAGCCCGGGTCGTCCCCGCCGCTCCCCGCTCCCGGCTCCCCGCGGCCCGCCCCGCCCGCCCCTTGAAAGGCCCAGCGCCCAGCTCCCCTGCCGACCCCGCCCCCGCTGCGGCCTCGGCCCCCGCCGGCCGTGTGCGCGCGCCGCCTGCCACCTCCGGCGCCTTCGCCCGGACCATGGCTGCGCGGTGGCCGCGTGTGCGCCCGGCGCTGCATCCTCCTGCGCGGACCTGTCTCCGGCGCGGAGACGCGAAAGCGCGGGACTTTCCAATTAGTCAGCCCAACCCCAGGGCTACAGTGGGGCGGGCTGGCGGGGCTTCCGTGAGCCTGTGTGCGCGTGTGTGCACGCGTGTGCGTGCATGTGTGTGCGCGCGCCTGTGCGTGTGAAAGGGTGATTTCTAGGATCGCCATCTGCCCACCAGCAAAAGACAGTTGTCCGGTTTTAACATACTTGGAAAGCCCCTAGAAATCCACCACTCGCACCCTGAAGTCTGGAACCTCGCTTTAAGAGCTGCCATGATCACTCCTGGGAGGGTCTCAGGAAAATGCCCATTAAGAAGTTTGTGTGTGCGCATGTGTGTGGCGCGCTCCCTGCGCCCCTCACCTTGCAGTCCGCCCCCGTCATTAGGCAACGCCTCAAAACACTAGCCTGAGATTCTCCAAGGCCTAATGCAAAGCCTGAATCATAAAATAGTGATTTGCTTGTAGTTCTGCGGCTGTATGAAGGGGATTTGACTTTGAATTGGGTTGGTTAGACCTGAGCACTTAGCCTTCTCTTACCTAGCCAGGGTCTGCCTGTCTGGTTGGTAACATCAGTGAGGATTCTGGCCCCGACACTGCAGCAGAGGGTCCTCACTGGCTCCTCCCCAGCCCCTCCCTCTGCCACGGCAGTGGGTAAAGAGAAGCCTTCCAACCTGGCTCAGAGGGGAGATCGCTAAGAAGACGGACTAGTCGGGCCGATGGAGGTTAGGGTCTGGATCTGGTTCAGAGGCTAATGGCATTTATTGACAGCTATTTCGTGAAAACCTTGGGAGCAGTAGAACAAAGAGAACCACAGATGCTGTGACGAATCTGCCCTGGATACCAAGTATTGAAGAGGAGGGTGAGGTGCCGGGCTGGAAAGGGGGAGGTTGGATGTAATGGCATTTGAAGAAGTGTGTGTGTGCAAAGTCCCTGAGGCCTGCATGTAGCTCAGTACCCTAAGCCCTAGAGTGTGGGCCCTCCCAGGAGAGGGTATTTCTGGCTTAGAGACTGGAGGCCAGGAGATGAAGGTGAGTGAGGGTTTGTTTTTTTTTAAATTTATTTTATTGAAGCATAGTTGATTTACAATGTTGTGTTAATTTCTGCTGTACAACAGGGTGATTCTGTTATACGTATATACATTCTTTTTCACATTCTTCCCCATTACGTTTTATCCCAGGAGGTTGACTATAGTTCCCTGTGCTCTACAGCAGGACCTTGTTCTTTATGGGGTGGGCGAGTCTACAGCAGTAGGAGGGTGAAGGAGTTGACACCCGAGGACCCGATTTTCTTTGAGAAGGAGGAAGGGGTTGGGAGGTAGGTGGACTGACAGCCCTAGTGGGGAACAGGACCAGGGCTGGCAGGGAGGGGAATTCATCAGGTTGCCCAGGCGAGCTGGGGCCGGGGAGAACCAGCCCTTACTAGGCAGGTCTGATATTAGAAAGTGGAAATAGAATGATCCTATCAACTTCCTTCGAGTTATCTATCCTTTAAACTGTAAGTCGTCCTTCAGCCCCCAGGCTGTAAAGGATTTGGGAGGAGTTGCTCTGCTTTTCTCAGAAATCTCTTCTTACTTGGAAGAAACATCTTAGTATTTTCTGACCTGTAGCCAGATCTATGCAGTTGAATAATCCCAGTCATGCTGGCCCCGTTGCCAGAATAACCTGGATAACTGGATACCCAGGGCTCCTCGTCTCCCTGTTCGACGGTGAGTGCAGGTGTGCGCATGTGCGATGCCTAGCATGGCTGTGTGGCAGGTAGGAGACAGCCGTCCCCAGCCCGTGTGACTGGTGGAACCAGTTTCATTCCTCTGCGGCAGTGTCTCCGACGCATGCTCACCCCACTGGCACATTTAGGGGCTTTGTCACACACTGTAAACTAACAACCACCCAGGGTTTAGAATTTGTCACACTGCTGTAAGTTTTTCCAAAGGGAAGGTAAACATATAAATATTGAACTACTTCTGTGTAGAAGCCAAGTGAGGGGAAATGAGGAACGTCATGGGCTTACAGGAAAATGCAGTTGGCCAAAACGTGCAATAGGAAGGAACTAAAACACCTTGTAAACCTACGGAAGAGAACAGACTCCCTTTACTTCTGCTCCGGTGCCCAATCCCATTCATCCACTGCCTGGAGTGGATACTGGACAGCTCAGTCTCCAGGAAGAGTAGCATTCACCACTGTCATACATGGTGACAGTCTCTGCTCCTAGTATGTTGCCCTCTACTCCACCCCGTGTCCCTTCAACCCAAGGAGCCAGACTGCAGCTCTGCCCAGGAAGGACACTCGCTGTCACCCACCAGACCTTCCAATGGATTGGGGTCCATCACACTCTACACCAGCGGTCTGCTGCTTTTAACCAGTCCTCAGAGGAAACTACCATGCTTTGAATCCTCCAAGCACTCGCACTGAGCTTCTGTGAGCAGGTGGGGCTGGGGTCTAGGGGTCTGGGTGCAGGGGAGGGGCCCACGGGTGCCAGTCACTCATACTGTGGCCCAAGGGAAACCGTCTTCACATCAACCTACTGGATCGCCCAGAGGCAGCCACCTGCCTGGAATTCTCTGGAAGGCATGACTCTGAACCTGAGACCAGGTGGGTCCCATTACTGCATGAGGAGACAGCAGAAACTATGTTTCCAAATTCCGCTCTGGAATGTTCCACAGTAACTGGTTGTGAGCCTGCACACACGAAACAGGAGTAAAGGCTCCTTGTTCCCTTTGGTGGTTCATCTCTGCGTCTTCCGTGGAAGGATTTTTTTTAAATCTTCTTCTTTTTTATTATTATTATTTTTTTTTATTGGAGTACAGTTGCTTTACAATATTGTGTTAGTTTCTGCTGTACAGCAAAGTGAATCATCTATACGTATACATATATCCCCTCTTTTTTGGATTTCCTTCCCATTTAGGTCACCTCAGAGCACTGAGTAGAGTTCCCTGTGCTATACAGTAGGTTCTCACTAGTTATCTGTTTTATACATAGTATCAATCCCCATCTCCCAATTCCTCCCACCCACCCCCTTCCCCCTTGGTATCCATACGTTTGTTCTCTCCATCTGTGTCTCTATTTCTGCTTTGCAGACAGGCTACCTGTACCATTTTTCTAGATTCCACATATAGGCATTTAATATACGATATTTGTTTTTCTCTTTCTGACTTACTTCACTCTGTATGACAGTCTCTAGGTCTATCTACGTCTCTGCCACTGGCACAATTTCTTTCCTTTTTATGGCTGAGTAATATTCTGTGGAAGTATTTTAATGTTTCCCTCTACCAAGCCCAGGAGGTTCTATGATGATGTTACATTTTTGTAAATTAATAAATATGTCTAGGGTCATATATGTTTCATAACTACAAACAAAGTTATACTTGTCAATACTAGAAAATATCCATTATCATTGAACCAGATATTCTTATGGGCTTTTAAAAATACTGAACAAAAAATTGGGATAGATACTTAAACACTTACCAGCAGTGTCATTGAGTTTCCAGTTCCAATCTTACATTTTCGAGAAGAGGAAAAGGGCAGATCTAGTTTGTCTCTGACTTGGTGGAGATGCTTCTCCCTCACGCTGCAGCCATCTGCGTGACTGTGAGAAAGATGATTGCCTGAACTATCACCTTGTGCCCGCACTGCCCCAATGGACCAATGGACCGGAGCCTGGGCCCCAGCGGGGCTGTGATGGGTGACCTGGGAAGACAAACACGCAGCTTCCTCTGGCAGTGCTTGATGGAAGACATTCCGAGAATTCCTTCTTAGCAAAACGCTTTTAAGATTTGGATCTGCGCCCACGCCCTTAGCAGTGGGGTCCGTGGGGACATTTGACCCAATCTCCTAGGCTGCATTGGCAGGACTTAGTCATTTCCACAGTCGGAGGCTCGGGGGCTGGGGGCCATTTCCTGTTGTGCCTGAGGGTCGAGGGGGGTGGGTGGACGGGGTGGGGGTGGGGGGGGGAAATGCAGGGAGCCTGCTCCAGGCATTAGAGGCCTTGGATCCTCTTGCTGGTTATTTTCAAGGTTTTGTGATGCTTTCCCTGGGAGAAAGGCAGCACCTCTGCATAACTGTCTTAACCCCAAATCACAGCATCACGAGGGCTGTGAGAAAGTTTTCTGAGTCTGAAGTTCAGACCACACGCAAGTCGCCCCGGCTGCGTGAGATGGAAATATGGTCTGTCCTGCATGCCCCCTCCGCGAGGTCATAACTGCACCTGGGAGTGGGTCTCCCCACATGCAGCTGGCGTGGCTGGGTGGCTGCAGGCACTCACAGCAGGCACACTGGGGAGCCGCTCCACTTGAGGGGCTCACTTAATTTTCATGGCAATGTGAAGGATGGCATCATCCCGTGTCGAAGGTGAGGAAGCTGAGTTCAGAGAGGCTGAGTCACTTGCTCAGGGCCACACAGCGAGAAAATGGCAGTGCCAGAGGCGGCCCCCAGGTGCTGTTGACCCCAAAGCCCGTGTTCTTTCCATCAACTATTATAAAGCAAACAAATTCTGCTAAAAACAGAAACATGTTAAAAGCTGGACATGAAGGCGTCCCATTTCTCATGTGCTCCGGCAAAGATCTGTCTAAAGAAGATGAATTGCCTTTTGTGTTTTGAAGTCCAGGAGACA